TATATTATCTCTTATTCTTAATATAAAAACTACTTGACTAATTTGAGTATATTAAAAAAACAGTTAAATTAATTATTAGTTATAATTGTCTTTTCTAAAAATTATTATTAATCAAGTGTATTAGATAAAACTATTGTTATTATAAGAACTGTTTTAAAAAAATATAAATAAATGTAAGCGATAAAGTGAATTTAGATTTTATATTTAAGACTAAAATAAAAATTATACAAGTTTTTATATTAAGGATCAGAGATAGTATATAAAACAAGTGAAAATATTACCTCTAGTCCTATTTATAAAATCTTATTTATAATCAGGCCAAAAAAAAAAGAGAACCCAGCATTTTTTCTCATTTTGTATCATTTCGTCCGATTCGTTCCACACTTTACGAAAAGTATAAATAAAAAAATCCACAATTAGAGATTAGGAAGACAGAAAAGGTACTGTTGACCCCCAAAAAAAAAGAAATAAATAAATGAATAGGAAAAAGCAAAGAAAGAAAGAAAAAGAGAATGGAAAAAGGTGGTGCCGTTGTAAAGCTAAAAGAAGGGCCGTTTGTGAGTTGGGGCATATGAGATTGAGTCCCACGTCAAACGGAATAAGTACAAAAGTAATCCAATTCCCCTTTTTTCTCTCACTTTCCTCTTCCCCACATGCTCTTCCCTCTTCCCAAAATTTACATTTAAGCCCTCAACTTTTAGATTTAAGCTTCTCTGACTAAAAGTATGCTTATCTTTAAGATTTGAAAGAATTAAAAACTTTCCAAAAACTTTTGGTTCCACTGCTTAATGCCTATTCAAAGTGTTATGAAAACTTTTTCTTTAAGGAGAAATTAATTTCCCAGTCCTTATATTTTGCTTGAGTTTTGAATCAAGTCCTTGTATTTTTTTTCTTTTTATCAAATCTTTTAAGTTTCAGCTGTTGTTAACATTAGTCCCTACTCTTAAAACCGTTTAAAAAGTGTTATAAAAAAAAAAACCGTTTAAAAAGATTTAACACTGTCAAGCAATCAAGCAAACAATGCTGACTTGGTCAACAGGCAGAAAAATAAATTTGACTAAGCATGAGGGGTGGAGAGATAAAACCATTGTGCAGGAACAACTGAAGTGAGAATTGGGTCATTGTTATCCATCGGAGGAGAGGCAAATCCATGCCTCTGATCGAAATCAAAGATACTAAAAGCCACTTCATGTCACTGATAGAACATTTGAGAAGGTTCAAAAACTTTCAGAAGTCAATGGTGGAGATTATGGAGAAAACTTGATGAAGAATCCCATTGTGTTTATTACACTTGTGGTAGGGGTCAGGGTTCGTTCGAGGTTCTTGAAGACTTTGGTGACAATCTGGCATGGGTGGTTCATAGAAAGACGGAGAAGCGAGAGCTCTTCTTGGATGGCCCTTTCCTCTTGAAGGTTCGGCATGGGAAAGAAGATGATGATGATAAACAGCGTGAAAGCATGGACAAATAGCTTCTCTGCTTCGTTATGTTTTTTTTTTTTTAAATACTACCTCCTGTCCTAATTATAAGACCCAGTTGATTTATTTGACGAGATTAAAGAAGTAAGTTAAGTTAGTTATTTGTAATAAATAAGTGTTGTCATTCCTAAAATATCCTTGCTAATTAAGTGTATTGGCAATAACTATTATTATTAGAAGGACAATCTTAGAAAAAAAATGTATAAATATAAGAGACAAAATAGATTGGGATCTTATAATTAGGACCAAATAAAAAATCAAACGGGGTCTTATATTAATGACTAGAGGTAGTATTAATAAAACTGAAGAGCGAGAAAGGAGTATTTGATTTGGATTAATGTTCATTGCAGGTGAATTCTTAGTATTGCTAGTTAGGTGCTGGAAGATCCTTCTGTGGAAGAAATTGAAACCATGGGAGCTGCTAATGGTACAATTAAGAGTGATGTAGGTGTGGCCCTGATAGGTGTCATGAGAGTCGAGCTGATCCTAAGAACTAAGAAGAGTTTTGCAGATGAGGATAACCTTGAAAGACGTGATGTCAATACACAATGTGCAAAAGATGTCAATGACAAAGGAGAAGCTTTTGATTAAATTATTACTTGTCCGATTCTAAATATAAAACCTTTATACTAGTACTTCTCTGATTCTTAATGTAAGACCCATTTAATTAATTTGATCAGATTAAGGAAGTTAGGTAAGTTAGTTAATTATAAGAAAAGTGACATATTTTTCCTAAAACACTATAATTATCTTTTTTAATACCTTCTCTCCCTCTTCTATTTGATTATGGTTGAGGGAGTATCTATAGGGTTAATTTAGAGAAAATTGATAAATATGATAAATGGGTCTTATATTTAGGACCAAAACCAACTCAAGAATTGAGTCCTATATTAAAAACTGGAGGAGTATGTATTTAGGATTAGAGGAGTATTTTTATGCCTTTGTTTTTGCAGCTGAATGCTTAGTCAAATTTGTATGGGTACTCGTCTGCCATGCCAAACAGTGTGCTTAACAGTTTTTTTAACAGTGTTAACCATTTTAAACGATTTTAGACAGTAGGGACTGAGAGAGCTGACTGTGTAAACTTACAGGAGTTGATAAAAATAAATAAAAATACAGGGACCTGATTCAAAGTTCAAATAAACTATAAGGACTGCGAAATTACTTTTTCCTTTCCTTTATAAGTAGAAAACTGACACCAATTAACTACCTATTATCGGTGGTAAGATTATAATCATTTAACAAAATTACTTTTAAATTAATTTAGATTTGAGACTAATCTCCTACTATTTCCAGTTCTTAATATAAGATCCCGTTTGACTTTTATTTTGATTATAAATATAAGATCCCAATCCACTTTGTCTTTCATATTTATATATATTTTTTCTAAAGTAGCCCTTTTAACAATGATAGTTTTAGTCAATAAACTTAATTAGCAATGATATTTTAGGAAATGCAACACTTATTTAAGACAAATAACTAACTCAACTTACTTCCTTAATCTCTTCAAATTAGTCAATTGGCTTTTATAATTAAGATCGGAGGTAGTATTATATTGAACATATAAAGTTACAGTCCTTGGCTCCTTACGACCATTGTACTCTTTACATTTTAAATTTGTATTTTTTTATAAGAGTAAAACCACTTATTACCTTAAGTATTAAACTGTTGATTAAAAAAAATATTGAGAAATTTTTTATTTACTTAATTCGGTCTGATTTCTAATGTGATTTTTGAGCATTAAATAATATTTGAAAAAATTATTATGAATTTTTAACATTAAGACGTGATTTCGATTTTTTTGAGATTTTTCTTGTAAAAATCACTTCGTTAGGGACTTAGGGTTGTTGAATGTCATTTTACCTAATCTTTTCTCTGTTCCCATCATTCCCAGATTCTCTTCCCCGATGTCCCTCATCCTGTCCCAATTCAATTTCATGACAATTAATATATATATATATATATATATAATATTTCTATATTCTCGCTTTCCAAACATACATATTGTAATATAGTATTCGTATTATTTTTAAGCTTTAGGTCTCACGTGAGTACGTACCCTGAGCCTGATTATCCCCATAACTTAAAAAATTAAAATTAATTATATTTCCCTGCCTTTCTAGTGAGATTCTTCTTGCATGTGAACTTTTCCTATCTATGCAGTTATGTCCCCCGTCTAGACGCTCTTTATTTTACTTGTCTTTACTTTTGTTAATTATGTAATCAATTCAAATATCAATTACAAAATTTCTCTGAATTTTAATTATCACACTAAACATAAATCTCGTTTTAGTATAATTTAATATTTCAATGAGCTACATTATGTAGGTACCTTGAATGTGCCAAAAGATTGTAAGGTAATCATGGACTAAAAGAATTCAATGTAGATGCTGGTCAAAAAACAAAAAACAAGAAGAATTCAATGTATATATGAATGAAAATCTGGAAAGATACCATTTTGATCTTCTACATTTATTAAAGTAATTTAATTTATTCAACTTTTAATATAATTGTCATTCTTTTTTATCATTTAAGAAATTTCAATTAAATTATTAGATTTTGTATTTTTTTTTCATTTAATGCTGGCTTATTTCGTGAATATTATGTCATCTTTTGTTGGTTAATAATTCATCAATCATATTTTGCATCGATTTTTTTTTGGGGTAACAAATCATTTTATTTAGTCTTAACAGATAATATTCTTCTTATTTTAAATATAAAACCCGTTTTGTAGGATAAGTGTAGAAGGAGTACAAATTTTGTCGGTTGAACCCCAAATGGAATGTGTGTTTTACGTGATTATAATTGATTGATACTATAATCACATTTTCGAAATGAAAGATAAATTAAAAATAATTTAAATTACAGAAATTATTAGGATAAGTTGACCAAAAACAGAACTGAGAAAAGAGTTTTAATTAGAAAAATTGTATAAAAACAAACTAAACAAAACCAAGTCACTTCGGTTATACCTGAAGCGTTAGTCTGATAATCTTAATTGGTGAACCATTTTTTAAGCCTAGATTTTATGTCAGAATCTGTTGAATAAATAGTACTACCTCCGCTTCTAATTATAAGAACTAATTAATTAATTTGAGGAGATTAAGAAAATAAGTTGAGTTAGTTATTTGTTTTAAATAGTTATTGTTTTTTTTAAAATATCCTTACTAATTAAGTGTATTGACTAGAACTACCATTATTCGAAGGACTACTTTGAAAAAATATATATAAATATGAGAGACAAAATGGATTGAGATATTATATTTAAAACTAAAATAAAAATAAAATAAAATCTTATATTAAGGATAAAAATAGTACAATACTTAGAAAATTAGAAATCTTTAATTATGTTTTCACTTTTTTCGTATTCACTGTTTTAGCCTCCAACTATCAATGACTTGATGTCCGTTAAGTCTCAATCGTGCGAACGGCGCACCAGATCACACCCTCACCAGATCACAACCTTTCTCACGCGTGCCATCCTCACTCCCACCATCCCACTATTTATATGCCTTCTCCACTATGCAAGATGAGATAATAGTCTTAGCTTCGCCGATTCTTCACAGTTTTAGTCATTGTTATCTTTTTCTCTCCTTTAATGGCTTCTTCTTCTCTGATCTTCGCAATCTCTGCGATTTTCTTTGCTTTGCGTTTCTCATCGGCTCATTCTCTTACCTGTACGTCGCATAAGCTTCCTGGTAAGGACTTCCCCAACTGTAAGGATCTCCCGACTCTGGGCGCTACTCTTCGTTACTCTTACAATGCCACCAATAACTCGCTCTCCATCGCCTACATGGCTACTCCGGCGAAGCCCGGCGGCTGGGTCTCCTGGGCTATAAATCCGACCGGCCAAGGTATGCAAGGCGCCCAGGCTATCATCGCCTTCAAATCGAACGGCACTGTCGTCGCCAAGACCTACAACATCAGCTCCTATAAATCCATCGTCGAATCGAAGCTTTCCTTCGACGTTTGGGACCTGAGCGCCGTCGAATCTGACGGCGTCATCACGATCCTCGCGACGGTGAAGGTGCCGGGGAAGCCGGACCAGCTGAACCAGGTGTGGCAGGTCGGGCCGTCGGTGACCGGCGGCAGGCCGGACAAGCACGACTTCACTCCGGCGAATCTCGCCTCAAAATCCACTTTATCGGTGTCCACGTCAACATCGGCACGCGAAAACACCACCACCGGCGGCGACAAAAACGGCGGCGTCTCAGTAACAAATAACAGATTCGGCGTAGGATTTTTTGCTGGTTTGTTAATGCTGGTAGCGAGTTGTGTTAATTTCTGATTTTCCTTTGTTCTTCACCACTACGAATAATATTCCATCAGTGTGACTCCTAATAGTTTACTGATATTTTCTGCGGATTCTTGTAGGTGAGAATAGGCGATTTATGTTGATCAGGATTTCAGTTTCATATATAGAATTTTTTATTTTCCGTCTTCAATCTACAGGAGATAATCCAGATCTGAGAATCGGTATGATGAAGAAGGATACATAGTTGTCAATCTTTATACATATAATTAGAAATGATCAATTTAAAGGCAAAAAAAAAAAAAGTTGGTTGAAGGAATTAGGAGTATTGAGTAGGAACTGTGGGTGGGGTTATTGTCAAGCATTATTGCTGCTTCTACTTGGGCGTCGACATTAATGTTCGGAGGCTGACAAGGCTTTGATATTTTGTTCGGATCGCGGTTCTCGAGATGTGAATGGGAATGGGCTGTGGGGAATGGGCGAATTTGCTGCCCTTTTGGTGTGGGACCGTTGGCATGCCATCCATGTTTTAAGATTCGTGATTTTTATGGCTGCATCTTTTTTTTTGCCAGAAATAAAAAATAATAATATTGGTACGTGAAATAAATATGAAATTGTCATGTAACTTAAAAAAATAAAAGTTAATATCATTTTTAGTTTTTTAAATTTGTCTTCATTTTGGTTTTAATCTTCTCAATTTTTTTCATTTAAAATTTTAGTTCTTATAATTCAATAAAAGTTTAGATCATTTTGTCGTTTGATGGATCAAAATTTATAATTTAAAAACGAAGAAAAGTTTAAAGAATAAAAATTATATTAGTCTTTTAAAATAAACATAAATATTTCACTTTGATTAGATAAAATGGGACAATTTTTTTTTGGATTTGACGTCCGGTTAGACTTTCAGAATATTACTTTTTGGGGGCAAAAAAAAAAAAAAGAAACGTCGTCGTCGTCATCATCATCTAGCTTTAGGAAAAACAAATGCCGTCTTATAGAGAAGAATAGGAAATTTGTTCTTCGGGTGGCTTATAGAAAGCAATGATTACTTCTTTCCTTTTTAACGGGTTAAATTTTGCCATTGCATGTACTCTGTGTAAGCTTTCTATATTTTAATAAAATATTATTTGTGGTGGAAATTTGAATTTTGTCCTTATTGCAATTGGATTTATGCAGCAGTTTTGGCTTCTGCTTTTTTTCACTATAACACGGGTTTCCTTTTAATTCTTTACGTTGTTTTTTTGCTAGCATGTGAGTATAATTCATGTGATATTTCTTTTCATTTATTCGATTTAAATAAATAATAATGCAATCGCATTAATTTTTGGAAGGAGAGGATCATCCTCTATTTAGAGAGGAAACAAAATCTGGGCCGTTTACTATATTAATGATTCTTTACAAATGAACTTTAAGTCGCAATGAATTTAATATTCTCAAATCTGATTTTGAATCTTTTTGTCCCCCATGCATGTGACCCTTCTTTTCCTAAAAGGAAGTCATTTTTTTTTTTGAGCTGACTAAAAAGAAGGCATTTGAATACAATAAAATGCGTAAGATCAATTCTCTTATATTTTCCTCTCCAGTAGTTAGAAATAGCAATAGTAATGTGACCATGCATATCCCTTTAAATAAAAAGGTATTTTTTTAGTGCTTTTGATATTCATTATTAAATTAGGAAAACATAATGAAAATACCCAAAAAAAATTATAGACACGTTTCTGTGAAGTTACACATAATTTTTAGAAGAGGTTTGCACATATTTTTAAAAGGGAAAACCATATTGAAGGTACCTATACTTTTTTTTAATTTTTAATTTGGTACCTATGTGTTTTTTTTCCCTTTAATTAAACATTTAATTTTATCTTTTTAGCAACATTAGCTCTTATAACTTTGTTTTATTGATATTTTTAGTTTTTACATAAGGATTAATGATGTTAATAGAGGAAAAATAAAGATTTAGTTAAGAACAAAAAACACATAGGTACCAAATTGAAAATTAAAAAAAAGTATAGGTACCTCCAATATGGTTTTCCCTTTTTAAAATTGAGAAAATATATGTAATTTTTTTAAAAAATATAATTTTGACAAGATTCCAAAAAAGATTTAGCAAAAAATTTATGTGATTTATAAAATCAGAAGTACAGTGGTTGGCACCTTATCTTTAACATGATAATATCATTAAAATGTAATAACTTTGATACTTAATATAAGAGCTGATCAAAGCAAACTTTGAAGGATTAAAAGTTTTATTCTTGTTTTTATTAACTCATTTTTAATTCATGTTGGGTGGTACCAGTTGTCTTTTTTCAACAATGACTTTAGTTAAAGTGAACTTCTGACAAGTGCTAACTACGAACTAAAGGGTTCATATTAGACGTACTCTTAAACAATGCAGAAGCACTGAAAAGAATAACAGGGCAAGAGTTACTTCATCTTTAAGTTATTTAAATTTCAGTCCTAAAAAAATTTGAGTTATTTAAATGTACAATTTTTAATAATTTATTTTACTTCGAATATTTTTATTTATGAAAATACAAAATATAGAATAAAATAATTTTTATTTTGAAATATAAAAATTATAATCATATCAAATAAAAAAGACTAAAGTCGAACTTAAATAAAATTTACTTTGAAGTTTTAACATTTTAATTTTTATTATATTCATATTGATGATAGCATCAAAGAATATGCTAATCTGAGAACCCAGCCTTTTCCGAAACCGAAAAGATATACCATTATTTACCCTTGTTCTCAGCCAAAAGGCTGAAAATTAAAAGATATTGAATTGTTAAATATTTTGTCCAGAGGACCAGAGGAGTATTATGTTCCATTATCTAATCTATATATAAAATAATTTTTTTTAATAAAATCAGCTATTTATAATTTATCAAAAAATGTAATTCATTCCTTAAATTGAGACCTAACCTGATTCTACAACATATATGTATTGAAGAATCATCGAAGAACACAGAATCATCATTACAGTTTAATTAAAAATTTCATTTACAAAGATATACAAAACTATATATAAATTTAATACTTTTAGGAAATTGGCTACAAGAAGCCAAAATATTTTCCCCTATCCTCCTCAATGATATTGAGACAAAAATTTTCATTTTGTTGTTGAGACAAAAATAATCTAACAAGTCTCTCAATTACCCTCAATTTAATCTGATAATATACTAGAAGGTCGAAGCTTATAATATCGCATACCAAAAAATTATTTTTTAAAAATATTAATGGGCAGGGTTCTTCTAATTTTTATTGAATTAAAAATAATAAAAATTTGATTTTAAAATTTATATTTTTAATAAAAAAATCCAGCAACACTGTTATATGTAAAGATATCATACCTAAGTTTTTCTTCTTTTAGAAACAATCAAATCACATAGGGAACTATGGAGTGCGTTGTAATTAACTACTAATTAAAAGTAAAACAAAAAAACAGACAAAATTAAACGACACTTTACCAACAATAGAAAAGTAAACCGAAAATTGCCTAAATCTGGAGAAAAGTTTCAGTCCGATTTCCTTTCCAAGCAGAAAAGTTTTACGTTCTTCCAACGCATTTGTTGCTCTCTAACAGTACTTACTAATTTGCCCAGATTTATTGGCGTGCCTTTCGCTTTTTGTTTGATCTCGGCCTTAAATAAATATATCAGAGAAAAAAACACACACATGAACACGTACGTACCCACGTTGTCTTGTCTCTAATCTCCCTCTGGACGACGACGACGACTATGTCTCTGCTGCCACGTTCAATTATTCCTCTCTTTTTGGGTCTTTCACTTTTGGTGTCGCTGCCTTCTCCGGCGACTTCACTCACATGCACTTCCCAGAAGTTCACCGATAATAAAGTTTATTCCAATTGCTCTGACCTTCCTGTGTTAAACTCCTATCTCCATTGGACCCATGATTCCTCCAACTCTTCTCTTTCCGTCGCCTTTGTCGCCGCTCCGGCGACACCCGGCGGATGGGTGTCGTGGGCGGTAAACCCAACGGGGACTGGCCCGTTGGGTTCTGAACAGAGCACAATAATATGTTACTACTTTCAGTTTTTAATATAAGACTTTGTTTAACTTTTATTTTGGTACTAAATATAAGACCTCAAGTGTCTTATATTTATTCATTTTTTTCTAAAATAATTCTTATAATAATAGTAGTTCTAACCAATACACTTGATTTTTAAGATACTTTAGGAAAGATAACACTTATTTATTACAAATAACTAATTTAACTAATTTTTTTAATCTACTCAAATTAGTCGACTAATTCTTATATTAAGAATCAAATATAGTGTTATCCATATGACCAGCTCCATTTAGTAATGTAAAGCACAGCCATTACTGTTATGCATGCATGCATTGCATGAAATGAAAATAAACCATATTATTTATTCATTTGTTTCTAAATATAATATTCATTTTATAGTGTAATTTAGGATCAGAGGAAGTATAATTTATGGAGAGTACAGCTTATTGGAGTTTGCATTGTTGTTAGTGCATGATGTGGTTAATTCAAGAGAAATATTCTAATCTCTCTGTATATATTTAACGTCTGTGTGTATTTTGGAAAATGGCAGGTATTTGCATTGTTGTTGAGACCGAATAAGGATCACAAGTACAAATTTTGGTGGAATATGTATCATCACAGTGTTGGATATATCACCATCATCCTTGGGATCATTAACATATTTGGAGGATTCAGCATCTTGAGCCCTAACAGGAGATGGAAGCTTGCTTATGTGGCAGCCATTGCAGCCTTGGCTGTTATTGCCTTGTTGCTGGAAGTCATCACTTGGATCGTTTTCTTTATCAGAAAACGCAGAAACAAAAATTAACTAAATATAGTCTCATATATGCATCATGATCACCTCACAACATCCTCTTAAGAAAAAACACTTACGCTTAAAATTCATGATCTGGGTAATTAATTATTACATCGATATTTTCTGCAATTCTTGGCTTCTCATCAGCAAGGATTTCTGTTGAGTGTATTGAAATATACTTGAAACGACTTTCAATTTGTTAGCTAGGATTTCTTGTATGTGTATATTTGAAGTACTTAATGGGAAGAGTAAGTGTTGTCTGCTTTTAATTATTGTAATTTATAGATAGGTAATATTTTATTTCTATGATCTGATTCTGAACAGGCATGGGCATGCTTCATGCATGCTACTTCCAGTCCTTAGTA